AAAATGTGTTTCACATTATATGCTTTCGTTCCTAGTGACATTCTCAGGTTGTTGTGTTGCAAGATGTAGTCTGAGCAGGTCAAGAGCAAATGATGTATGTATTCACTGATTTTTTTCCCTTGTTGACATTCAGCCATTACAGACTTTGCTATGCAACTGAGTAATTCCATGTTCTCGGATGTACACCCACTAGTCGGGCTTACAGATGTTCCATTGAGTCATTTTTCTATCGAAATTATCTATGAAATGATCAGAAACTTGTGTCCACAGGAGTTCCTCTCATAACAATGTACTCATGATGTATTGGTGCAAGATCAACAGCCCTTCCATGTGGAAGCAGGACAGTTATTTTATTCTGGGAGAAAGAGACATTGACCTATTTGCTGCTTATACTCAACGTCAGTGACTCCCTTAGAGTGATTTTTCTTGACAAATTTTTTTCAGGATATGAAGGTTGCAGTGTAATTGAGTATACAAGTCCTTAACCACCTTCCATAGTCCTTACCAACTCCAATAGCTTGGTCTTTCAGAATGTGAGCAGCTTTTAGAAATTGCATATTCGCTCTGTAAGTCCTTGTCTTCATATAGGAGTCCCACTGACAGTTAGTTCTCAGATACTTTCTTGGCTTCAAAAATCCCTTACACATTAGAATATTCCTGTGCTTATAGTTTTGCTGGCGCATGCTGTTACATGCTTGCATCAGAGATGTAGAGGATATCAATGGCTCAATACAAGTCTTTGGTTCAATAGTGAGTTATTTTCAATGCATAATATTGTAGTTGATGATATGGATACAAGCTCATGCCTACTCTATTGTGAATGTGATTAGTCATTGTCATCATCTTGCATCTGACCATGAGGAGGGCTGGATGACCTTAACCGTGGTTTTGTGGCCCAACAACCTAGGGGTTTTGGCCTGGTCTGGCCGATCATCAGCTTGTCAAGGAGTTTGCACCTGCTAAATATCCTATCTTATTGACATCAGAGTTATCAGGAAGTTTAGACTTACCTTGAGCTTTCTATGGTAGATCATGAGTATAGTGTAGAGATTAACATGAAGCAGAGACCAAGAGTCATAAAGGTCCGAGATCTTGGAGTACATGCATGCACGCACATCTTGTAGACACCAGCATCAACACACGTGCAAGAGGTGAATCCTTGATGATTATGAATACAGCAGTCTACTGACTATATCGAATCCAAGGAACATTGCCCCATTCACAAATAGTGAACTGGTAAGCAATAAGTTCGTCAAACATTTCTGAAAAATCAGATGCATACCAAATCAAAGTGGACCCTAGACCACATGTAAATGCACTGATTCTCTCACTTCTCCGAAATTTCCGCACACAATCCTTGAAGAAGCATATTTTTGTCCAGTAGACGCAGCAAATCTGTCGGTCTGCATTCTAGATTTGATCATGTCTATCACTGTCAAAAGCTGTCGCATCATACAGAATAGAGTTCATAGGATTGATCTGGTCCCATCATGTTCTTGTCTGAGCCATTTTGTGTTGTACAACTTGAAGCATTTCATATGGCAAAAAGTAGACACCATAGCCTGTCCTTTGGATAGTCCAGAAATGCTGTGTTGTAAGACAATTTGTTTCATTGTGTTAGTTAGACCTTTGCATATTGGATTTTACTGCATCTGCAAACCTGAAGAAGATGTTAAAGCCAGATACCAGTAGTACATGTAACACAGGAGACTCACAAATGCGAATGTTTCCACTAGACCAGAAACTACACCATTAGCAAGCTCCACTGCAACTCCAGCAGCAACCAGCTGTCCCCCACACAGCATCTTCCCTTCTCCTTTCCCTTCACCTCTAGCTGGATTCTGAGCCTTGAATATCTGCTTTGCATACTTGAGTACTCCAAATTATACTGACACACAGTCACCAATTATCAGCAATGGCGCTAATGTGCCTAAACAGAATAAGAGAAAGAACAGCATAGAGTGACAAGAGCATCACCTTATAGAATGCCTGAGGCTCTTCATTTTTCAAGATACAGCCAGCGCAATGTAGCATGCTACAAACTCTTTTGGAGCTGGTAAGCACTTTCTGTAATGTCAAATCAGCTGAAAGACCCATTGCATAAATGGCAGTATTTTATAGTGATGATCGTCGCAAGATAGTTTGACAGCGAAGAAGGATGAGGATGATCAGCCCTTACTAGTATTGGAGACACCAAATATCTGGTCAGGGTGCATAATATGCTCAACCCGGTATTATCTAGAGAATATTGACTGCTTGTAGATAACCTTAAGGCTTGCCACATACCCAATTATTGTGTGTGTGTGTGTGTGTGTGTGTGAAGGAGTTGAAGAAGCTCATTAACATAGTGCTTGTCCATCGCAAATGTCAACTCACACATGGACCATTGTAAAGCACCGATCCCACATGAGATACAATATATAACCTACATAGTACAATAGCGTAAGTAATGTTCACCATAGGGCTCCACCCCACAGGACAATAAATGAGAGTCCAAAAAAAAAAGTTCAGTGAGGACACATTATGTGACAGTCTTGGGGAACATACCGGTGTACAACATGGTGGTTTTACATGGACAAAAAACCCTGCAGTAAGTTAATGAGAGGATACACAAGCCCAGAGGGGTTGGCATACTTTGAAAAGTTGCCTGAGACACTCCATCACCTTGCTGAATGTATCTAATTGAAGCTTGACAAAATTGAGAAGTAATGGCATTGCGAAAATTTGTTTGAACCTTTGGGTCGAGATGTTCGATGTGAGTGTAGATGTCAACACACTATTGAAAGAGATAGATGAAAATATTCTGCACTTCGTTAGCCGAACTCACCTGCACAATGCCTGAGTTGGAAGACTGCCCATAATTCGGTTTGAGGGTGGGAGGGGTGATATCCTGCAGAAGTGATTAGTACCAATTATAGCACATGGGGAAAATTCATGGTGTAGTTAACTGAACAGGTTGAGTGTCCTGTAAGCTGGAACTTGCAGCCATAGGCTCAGAGTATGGGGATTGTTGAGCACTTCGAGTGAAGCACTTGGTCGCCTTGAAAAGAGCTTGAAAACTGACTCTGAACATATTTCATGTGACCCATTCCTCGAAGGCAAGAGAGAGGACAGCTGTAATGATTAGATATGATTTAAATGCTAAGATGAAAGTTCGTACATTGTGACTGGCTGTTGCCCTGCCTCTCTCTTGTACTTACCAAATGAGGGTCTGAATGACTTGGCCTCAACCACTCCCAGCATTTCTTGCGAGGAGCATTATTTTCATTCATCTGGTAAGTGAGGTGGATGTGCATGTTTTGGTGCAATGGAGGTGGGAGGCATGAATAGGATCGACTGGCATTCACAGGTAAGTATGAGGATTATTATGTAATTTGAGTGCACTGTCACATGAACAAATATAAGTCCTTTGCCTTTGCTGCCTTGACTGCCTTAGACTTAATTTGTGATACAAGTAAGTGACTGTTATTTGAGGCTGTCAGGAAGGCCAGATGTTTACCATCATGGAAAATGTGGCCAGAGGTACAGCAAAAACCACAACTATCTAGTAACAAGTTTCGCATCTTGCAGCGATATCATTATGTTAGGTGATGCAAGCATTTCAATCTCGATGTTTCTCCTTACATGTGAGATGTCGAGGACAGAGGATTCAAGTGCTTTATATTTCCTCTCCGCCTCTTATCCTGGTATGAATGGTGAGTGAGATTGATTTTCGACAGTTCGACATTTTGACAGATATTGGGAATACCTTTATATCAGAAAATGCCACTGAGTCTTCTTTTTTCCTTTTCCCTTCTCTGGGTGTGCCCACACTCAAATTCCCATTGTTATTGGCGCTGTTTCCATTGTTTACCGCCTCCGTGTCCATCAAATCCGCAGAAACATTCGAGAAGTTAATGTTCATGTGATTCTTATCCTTCCTTGGTATGTCCTGGGTAACATCTAGCTTTTCTGTTGTGATGCTGTTAATTATAGTGTGATTAGTGGGAGTGTGAACTCCATGAAGCTCAGAAACTTGGCTCACATTGCACATGTTGTCAGACCTGAGAATATTGTTGGATTTTATGTAGTCAATTGATGGACACAGCATAACATTCCTTGCATCCATACCACAGCACATTTCTGTACAGATAATATGGGTACATCACTCAGGAGCGTCATTCACATTCCTTTGAATGTTTTACTCTCACCTGCATGTAATGTGATTTCAGGTAGATGTGTGTCTGAGTCTAGAATGAGGGGAGATATGTCATTGGCACCTGGATAATCAGTGAACAGTTGAACGTGTAGGATGAGATTAATCTAACATATGAAGCCTATGTTTTTATTGGATGAGTTCTCTTGGACAACAGCTTGGCACATGGCATCAGCAGTTCCTTCTTCAATTAGGGAAACAGTCGCCGCTGAGGTGAGTCCTACTCACATATTTATGAATGTGAAATGCTACTTACCACAATTAGGAGTATCAGAGACCTTCATCATCTCTAGACCATTGTGGTCCATCACAATTTGAGCCAGAGCATTGTAGAGACTGACATCTCTGTGGCCTTGTAGAGAGCTAATTCTACAATGCCTTAAACACCTTCCAAACACAGCGCGACCCGTTGAAGGTTCAACGATACAGCGAGGCATGAACAATGCTTCTGACTGTATCTATAAATGTTGTAAGGTCGCGCGTTGCCTAGTCTGCTATACTTGAGATGACAAGTGTGTTCGACCCTAAAGGGGAAGCGAGTGCAGCAAGGATCTAGTAGTAGGCACTGAAGGCGCTACTGGTTGGCGAATGCGAAGCACGGGAAAGCGCAGGTGCGCACGAGGTGCGAGAATGCGCGAAGCGCGGGAATGCGGGCGCGTGTATGCGGAAACAAGAGAGGGTATGAGCGAGTTTGCTTAAGTGATGATAAGACACTAGACAAGAGGTGAAAGATGCAAGCTGAGAGATGTTATATGCAAGGTGCCAAGTAATAGATTTCAACTATGCTCTGCTGGGTAGTAAATGGGTATTGTTGTGGTTCAGTCCTCTGTCGTTCTGGTGGGAGAGTAAGTGAGTAAGTATGTACTGCTGGCGCTTAAGTATGGCGCCTAAGCACTGTCATGCGGAGCCGAAGCGCTACCGAGTAAGGTATGTAAGGATATATGTAAGTAAGGGTCCATGATAAAAATAAAGATGGAACGATATGCAAATGTGAGAAATGGAAATATACGCACTAGGGAACTTGGTGGACAGTGGATGGATGCTTCCGGATGGCTGGCGCTATAGGGCGCTCAAGCGCGGGAAAGCGCGCGCGCATATACATCGTGAAGCGCGGGAAAGGTACGCGCGCGAGTTGCACGGGAAAGCTGCGCCTCATGTAGGAATAGCTGTGGATAGCATACAGAGTGATGCTACAAGTTCATGCCATGTACTCCCTAGTGAAAACTGCAATATTGCACAATGAGAGGCGTGAGTCTCTACACTGTATCCCATTCTGCGCACTTGGTGCTTTGGTCGCGCATTGGCGCATGTATCCTCGGTTCTGTCGCTCGTCCTCCGTCCATCCATTTCATGTCCGTTCGGTTTGTCAGTGCGTATTCCTATTTCACTCCCATGTATTCTGACATATCTCCGGTGCTTGTGCACATATTCCGTATGTTTCGTCATGGACCCTTATTACATATCATCATGTACTCGCTTCGCTTTCCGGCTCGCTTTAGCGCTTGACAGCGCTTAACGCTACTCAGAATATATATATACCCTGCCTCTATGTAGAATGATTATCTTCTTTTTCCCACACATCGTTGGACTCTAAGTCTAAATCTCCGTCATCTCCGCCGACCAACGCTAAGCGCCAGGACTCATACAAGCGCCAACCTGCATATTCTTATACACGAACATTGCCTTACTCGTTCTCCGACTCACTTAAGAGTCGCTGCGCTCCACCACCCGCACGCGCGCTTTGCTCTCACTCAGCGCACGCCATCGCACTTGTTGCTCAGTAGCGCTCCATAGCGCTTTCGCTTATCGCGCTTCGCTCATCGTCGCGCACCCCACCAGGCTTATCCAACAGCCCGGTTCAGTGTTTCCCTCCACTATTATATATAGAGGAACCTTCTCAGTAGCAATCCCCTTGGGCCGACATTAGATTCGCGCACAGAGGACCATCTGAGTATATCTCATACCACCCACTTTCTAGCATTCTACATTCCTCACCTACAGCGTCCTCACACATTTTGAATTCTTGCTCACACTCCAGTGGTGGCTGGAAGGAATTAGCTCCACCATCATCAAGAGAGGTGTAAGACATTTGTTGGGTTATCGTATGATATTATGTGATGAAACTGATGCTGTATCATTCAACAATAGATAAATATTTGTGGTGATGATCTATATAGTTTTTCAAACATTGGCGCAGACCTGCAGGGATATAATACGCTAAAGGGGTGTCATGGAGATGAAAATATAACGGATGTCTGGTATTATTTATGACAACATGCAGAAAATCGATATGCACTCATCTTTTGAGGAACCGAATAACGGGGATCCAGACAATCAGGGTACCTCTCAACACAACAGTATTTAGTTTAATGTATCTGGTCAAGCAGGTTCCAGCATTGGCAGAGATGAGCCCCTTCATCAGCGCACATCCATATGAAGCAATCCACATGGTGGCTTTAATTATGGAATCACAAAAAATACTTCTAGATCTTCAGAGGAATGGAGGGTGTATAAATTACCACTCAATTGGTAGATCTTTAATTAACATTGTGTGCCAATCTTACTTACTGCATGATTATCAGCCCCTTGTGGAGTGGATTTGTCGCTGCCTCATACCCAATGGATGTCTTGTGACCATCGGTCCGTATTTTATGAGGCACACTAATTAGTACATCACAACTGCTATGGAGTAAAGCTATTTTAGGACTTTGAAGTATTTTCATTGCCAAGGCTGCTATACACGATGCACTGGCTGCGTGTTCCTGTCTGTGGACCCAAGTATCTCTGTTATTGGTTAACATTTTCTTGGAAGCAAATACATGAATATACCATTTTTTTTCTGTTAAAATACTGATGAGGATCCAATCAGCTGTTCTCCATTGATCCTGAGTACACAATGTATTGCTGTGCCTCAATCATTACTTTGAGAGGGAGTCTATCCAATGCAGATAGAAGAGGAATTATGTCCCATTGCAATTTGTTACACTGAGATGACAAGCTCAGAGTGTTGATTCCTATGCACATTGTAAGAATCTGGTGCATTATGGTAATATGGATGTGCCCATCGAGGTACAACAATGAGATTGACATGCAGGAGAACCCATTGTGCATGTGTTGGAGGTGGAGGCAGTGTATAAAACATCTTGCCTGCTCTTCATCCTGGAGTACGACATTTTGATAAAGCAATTTTTCAAACCTGCAATTGGATGGTGAATGGGTTGCAATGTGTTCAGTGTAACAAGAATATTTTACCATGAATAGGTGCTTTTAAAATACAAATCCATCTTACTATACTCCTTCTGGTGCATGTGGCCAGAGTGAATATCTTGAGCACAATATATAAAGGAATGTAGACCGTCATCGTCAATACATATTGAGCAAAGTCAATCCCTATTTATCACACTCTATATACAAACAAAGATACACAAAAGATGACCGATGTTACCCCAAATATCATCTCTATCTCGGAGAATCTCATTTGACGACTGTACCCACTAATTGCAGAGACATTTAGGCTCCACAGTGCAATTCAATTCTTGAATTAATGAGGAAATGCTACATAATGAGAGGGACGTGAACCGACCAATGTGTAGTGCTAGGCTGAGTTCGTGATGGACTTATAACGGACACAAGCAGGACAACCAATGAAAGATATAGTAATATTCCTGACATCATCCGATTTCTGCTGTTGCACTGACATCAAATCTTCTATGTAACTTATTTTTTGATAAGCCTCGAGTTAAAATGTGAGATATTGCCTTGATTCCGCAAATTGAAGGCAGAATCTTTCTGTTAGGAAAGTTCTAATGGACGAACTTTCACATATCGGCCTCTAGGATGTGTAATTTTAAGACATTAAATACCAATGAAGGCATGTGACCTTCGTCCCGCTGCTTCAACCGTACTTGGGAAATATATTTGACGTGTTTGAGAAATCGCTAAAACATCCATGTTGCAACAGGCTCTATGTGGCTGCCTTGTCCACCATGTGGGTCGAACGTAAGAGATAGGCAACGGTCTAGAAGATATAATATGGTGTGTTATCGTACATCAAATGTTGCTACCACTTGATGTGAATTTATACGGAGCCATTTCACATTTAAAACATAAAGATATATTGTGAAGTTACATGAAACAGAAATATTTGGCGGTACAGAGCGATAAGTGACATGCATTGGACGCAGATAATTCTCCAACAGTGCAGTCGGCATCACAGGTTCAGGACAAAAAGGAAGAGAAACATGTAACAAGGAACGTAGGTGACACTTCAAGGTTAGGGAGTGTGGTTTGGGAAGATAAATGGGCGGTGAAAAAGATGGAATAATTGTGAAATGATGTCTGGTTGAAAGGACTATGGAGGAAGGGATATATCTTCTGGGTGATGTGTAGCGCTGTTGGAGTGTTCAACACACCTGCAATAATTCACCACTGGGATGAATACAAATGTCATTTGAGAGTATATGTGTAGAGCTCCCCGCGTAGAATGGTATCAGGAGTGGCGTACACAATTGGATGAAAAGTAAATTAGTTATCAGAATCCAACAGTAAATAAATCACTTGAAACGACACTGACTTCCAATGCTATGTGGGCGGTTCTATAACCAGGGATGATGGAAACATCGCTGCAAGAAGTTGGAAGAAAGCAGGCAACCGAGGAGGGTTGGCAAGCATGAGTACTATCGCCTACACCGAGCCTAGACACAGGAACTGTAATTATGAAACAGTCATATATTCGGCTGATTCGATGGTGCTGACGCCATATGTGATGAACGTGTAGATGTGCAGGAAGTGTTGTGCGTGTTGAGCATGTGGTAGGATAATGATGCGGTATCAGAAATACGCCCCGTGGTGACATTCACTGTGAGGGACATCATACTAAAACACTGGGGGAAAAAATGAAGCACGTTGATTGAGAAGGCCATTGAATATATCAACGCATGAAGGAAGAGAAAACGGGGAAATTTCTCTTACAAGGATAGAATTTCCGCCTGTGCATTCAATGTGATTAACTGCAAAATTCCAAGGCGAGTGAGATATCATCAGGGTGTCAAACGTCACGCAACAGAAAAAAAGACGAAGAGAGGGAAGCTTGGAGTACATCACAGATTGTTCGTTACGTTTGTAGTTCTACAACGTGAGCCCGTACACATCTGTTGCAATTGACATTAAATTTTATAAAACGGTGAACTTGTACTTTTTTGGCGAGTTCCGACGAATAAATTAATTTTGAATGATACATATTTATAAGACCACAGTTGGGTCAAGGGATGTTAAATTCGAGAATGTCTACTCTACAAGCTCTGTATTCCCGCGTTTAATATTTGATATTTGATGAACCTGCCCAGAATTCCTTGATATTTAGAAGCTGGCACCGTGCTTTAGCTTCCTGGGGTATGTAGACCTGACCGAGGCGTAAGACGCCTATATAGAGATATCAATTCGCATGAAATGGGCCTTGATCGCATGGGATGGACAGATCAATCCGGTAGCTTAAGCACATGAAGTACACTTTGTGCGCTGCAAAATTGGTTTAGTGAATTGTGTTCTCATGTAGTCCTGTCGTATACGGCACAATAAAGTCCCCATAATTATGTGCTGCATTCAGTGGAACATGGTTAATTCGGTTAAATGAGTGGCATCTTCGCTGCCAGACTGGTGGAAATTTTACGATGAAGAACACCTGAATTTAAACGGCCTCGTTATTATTGGGACTATTCACCCATTTTTATTTTATCTGCATTGGTTCTGTCACATCTGTACCTCCAAAATCGGAGTCATCGTATATTGGTCATTCTCATGCCAGTGAGCCTTACGTCGATTTTATTTTCAACTATATCCGTCCATTGCAATTATTTTCTCTCAAAGCTCTGTCGACATTATACAATACTGTTTCCCCTTCTCATCCATGCCATATGCGGTTTTTCTGTCTGTGTCTTCCATCGACAACCCGTATCTCTCTTCTGATGCACGTACCTTTCTATTTGATGAGTTTCTGCACGGATCTCAAGAAAAGACAGTGGGGCTTGGGGATACAATCCAGGTTTCCGTTGCTCGCTTCCCATCCAACGATCACCGTCCATCTTCAGTCAGTATTCGACAATATCCATACACCTTCTATTGCACTGTAAAGTGCATCTACGGGTTTTCCCTCACCCATGTCGCATTTACACTTGAACGCATGTCCACCAAATTCCCGCAAACCCTTTACGTCCCCCGCAATTTTTCACGCCTTTCCGTGGGCCAACGAGCCTTAGGATTGCTTATTATGCTTCCCAAACGTTGCTGGGGTGCACGTAAATCAGTATTTGCACCATGTGATGTCAAGCCAGTGCTACACACTAGCACTAGCAAG